AATAATAATAATAATAATAATAATAATAATAATAATAATAATAATAATAATAATAATAATGTAAACAAAGAAAATCAAAAGTACGTGTAGACTAACGAAAAACGTTTACTAACATGATCAGTATTCAACGAAAGTTAAAGGGATTTAACGAAAAAAAAATATGTATAAAAAAAACAATGTAAAAACGATATAAAAAACGATGTAAACTTCTAAAGAATTTATGTATATAAAAAAAGAATGATTTAGTACGATTTTCTATGAAATCGTAAAATATATATGTATATAAATATATATACGTAACTTATATATAAATGTACACATACAAGCAAAAATTTGGAACTACATATTGTAAAATATAAAATACTGTCAACTTTATATATAAACGAAATGAACTTATAAAAACAAAAGCGAAATAATTTTCTTTTCTCTTTTACTAACTAAAATATTGCCACATTTTTTTAGCTATTATTTTATAATATTTCATTAAAACATTAAATAATCAAAATTTAAAAACAAAGAATTTTTTCAATTTCATAAAAAAATTATGAATAGCTGATTTTTTTAGATCAAGATAAAATTTTAGATAAATTTAAAATTTCATTAGATTGGTAATTGAAAGAAACATATTTTTTAGCTTAATAAAAAATTGAAAGACATTACATATTAATCGGTGGGATGACTCGTTTGCATCCTTATATACATGTCTTTATTCGCACTAATTTTATGCTTTTGTAAATATTATTTGTTTTCAACAATTTTAAATTGAATAAAAATAAATCTATAAAAATTTAAATTAAATTGAATTATTCAATTCAACTGAATTAAAAAAAATTATAATACTTTTTTTTCTCTTTTGAGTAATAAGTTTTGCTTGATAATATTATAATTTTTTGTTTGCATCAAGCTTTCATAAAAATATGTTTTGTTTTTCATACATATAGTAGTATGGCAAGATTCTTATATCAAGATCTAATCTAACGCTTCTAGAGAAAATTATATATATTTCCTTTTCTGTGTGCACGAAAACACTCTCTATGTCTCTCTCTATTTTTTTCTTTTTCTTTTTAATCATGTACATACATATATGGCACACTTTTTAAAGATAAGATTTACATTTCAAAAACCTGATGTACAGGTAATAAAAACTGTGCATTTTATTGAAAAATTTACATAATTGTCACAGTTTTTGCACTATTGTACTAGGACATAGAGAGTTAGCAGAATCACGAATAGTTGTTTGTTATCGTAGAAAATTTACTAAAATCGAAATTAAAAAAAGCGATTGAATCAACTCCTCTTGTCAAAGAGTGCTCCACATAATTTGTCAGTTTTGTTACCTCTTAATTGAGGTCTTCCCCTGCTCTCAGAAATCTTTAACATGTCCCAAAAAGCTAAGATCATGCGTTTGATAGTGGCTGGATGTAGCAAGTGGCGTGACACTTGATTGATGCGCCGCATTAACGGCTGTCAAATGATGATGATGCAATGAATGATGAGAAGTATGTGAATGAAGAATATTATTTGGATGGGGAACTTGGAAGTTCCCTGGTGGCGGGGCTCAGGATAGGAGAGGTCCTGGATGTCCACCAGAAAGAACAGATGATGCTGTAACAGCTGTGGTTTGCATATTTGAAACATTATTTTGTTGTTGATTTTGCTGTGTACCTAAAGACAGAAAAATATTATTATTGTAATAAATTTTATTAGTTTTATTATTTATTTTTTTATTATTAAATAGATAAAATAGATAAAAATCATTCAAATTCTTACCAGCATTTTGACTGAGTTCAGCTTTTACCCTTCTTGCAATATGGCTTCTGGTATGTTTTCTTAAATGATCTTTACGATAAAAGCCTTTGCCACATTCTGTACATACATGTCGTTTTTCACCCGAATGTATAACAAAATGTAATGTTAATTGTTCTTTTCTTTTAAAAGCTTTTAAACAAACAGTACAAACGTATGGACGTTCAGGATTATGACTCTGTTTGTGACGTGTAAGATGATCCTTTCTTTTGAGACCTGCACCACAAATATCGCAAACGAATCTTCGTTCTAAAGTATGTCCTAAAAGATGTTGTTCCAATAATTCACGTTCTGGATATGCCATATGACACTCTGGGCAGCAATATAATGTAGAACCATCTAGAGCTGTAGTTAAACGAATTTCTCCAGGTTTTGGTCGTGGCTTTTTTTCTTTAGGAGCCTTCTTCTTTTTTTTCTTTTTATTATTTGGAGACATCATTATATTAGGTGTTGTCGTAGTTGCTACAGCTACTGAAGTAGTTTGTGCCATTTCTGATTCTTTCTTAATACTCTCAGCAGAATATTTTAAAAAATGATGTAAACTTAATGGTAAAGTACTAGCTGGTAAATGACTGAGGTAATCTGCCACTGTAGATCCAGGAGTAGCCAAAGATTGCCATGTAGCAGGCATAGTTGCAGGAGTTTGAGTATGAGCATGCTGTTGATGATGTTGATGCATTGTATAATCTTGTTGACTACCATTTGTTGTTGTTTCTCCATTGCGCTGTTGCTCGTCTGCTTTCTTCTCCTTAGTTTTATCTTTATCCTGTAGGAGATTGCAAACATCTTGTTGATTTATTGTTTCTGTTGCTTGCTGAAAAGTTTTAATTTTCTATGAAGTACTTCTACACGCAACACTGTAAAATAGTGTCAAAGGAGCTTACTTGATGATACGACCGTTTCTCTGGCATTCCAGGCGAATTAGAGGGCCGCTGTTGAACTGGTTGAGCTTGAGAATATGGTACATTTGGATAATGATGAACATTGCTGTTGGGATAATTTGCTTTATTGTTCATCATTACTTGTGACTGAGCAGATTGAACGCCGTTGCTTTCAGGACGGTACTTTCCCATAACCGGCACTCCAATTGGAGGCTGGTTGGGAAAATGATTGGCGTAACGTCCGCCTGCACCGCCGGAGCCGTCGGTTGCGAACTGGTGAATACTCGGAATAGTACCGGGAAAATGGCTTCCGAACGGCGGGAAATTCATTGCAAACCGTCAATCAAGTATCTGAAAAATTGTAAAAAATCAAATTTGATTTAATTAAATATACTAATAAACTTTATAGAGCACAAATACAGAGTAGATTACAGAAGTTTATATATAAACCAATATCCTTTCTAAAATTTAGTATAGTATATTATTGCTAATACACAAATAAATGTTGAATAAATTGTAAATGTCAATCAGTGACATATGTGTATGAAATACATTGTAATTGCCTAAATAAAAATAGTGCCATCATCCAAGGGAAAAAATCGAAGATATGAAAATAATTTCTTGACGACATTAGAAAAAATAACGAAAGAGATATTTCGCAAAAATATGACACACCGAACGAAGATATCTGGCGCGTCGTGCTTGACGCCCGAGTATTTACTCACAGCGACGTCCCTCTCCCCATGTTTCTTCGCTGTGGAATCGAATCCTTTCCTCGGAGGGGGGTCTCCGAGAGGTGAGAGTGAGCGTAGGGGCAGATTTTTACAACACGAGAGACACAAGAAGCAAGAACACCACGCCACCGTCGTTGCTGCGTCAGCCGTCTGTCACGAGGAAGTACACACGGGAAACGGTCGCGTTTCCCTTTTTACACGGCACGAGTGTTACACTAAAACGTAAATCTTCACAGAAAATACCGCGAAATTGTACACCTTTGTATCACAAGGATTACAAACGATTTACTGATTATAGAAAAGGGTACAACAGGAAAAAAAGACGAATAAAAACGAATATTGTAAGCGGCCAGGATCGTCGCGATGCGGGGGAAGGGTAGCTATAGAGGGACGACGACGCGGAGAACGGGAATCAGAGGATGGGAAGAATGAAGGAGAACGGGGGAGGACGCAGGGGGGATGATCTGGTCAGAGGGATGGGTAGTATATGTGGGATGGAGTGTGAGGGGAGAGACAGACTTTCCCCTCTCGGCACCTAGTCGATACGCAGAGGCCGAATTCGCACGAAATTCAGCAGAAAATGGCCGTATTGAATACGGAACATCACGAACGTTAGTTAACTAATTCAAAAAATTTATTATAAAATCACCTTACCATTTAGTACTTAGCAGCTTGTGCTCGCCTGGTCAAGATTTTCACGAAGCCGAGAATCTCCGAAAAAGATTCCCCGCTCTATGTGTGTGCCGTTGACACCTGTCCCTCAAGTCGGTGCCCCCACCCCATCCGTCCGCCCTCTACTGTGCCAGCCTCTTAACTATTTTTTCTCTCTCCCGGTCCTCCTCGCAACCGCGCTGGCGAAAATGCCCGAATCCATCGGGGTTTTAACTTCGAATTGCTCTCGGCGACTTGCCATTATTTTCTCTCTCTCAGTGCATAAGAGTAAGAAGAAGTCAGAGATATAGCCACGGGCTTGAAAATATCACCAATCAGAAGGAGTAAAGTATAAAACGAAATTTAACGAGTTATATATCATAATATATAATCATATAATTTTATATTTTTGTTAAATTAACAATTAATTATTAATCCCTAACAATAATATTTATTGTAGAATATAAAATAACATATGAAAATTTTCAATTAAGTACAAAATAAGAAAATTATTGTAATGAATAATTTATTTGTAAATGAATAGAAGATTTTATTAATAAAATTGGAATTTAATATATAGTAACATAAAGAAAATATATCCTTACACCCATTAATAGAATAATATCAATATAAATATACAAATAATCTAAAAAATTATTAATTCCCCTGTATATGCAATTTATTGGTTAATAGTTTGTTTATTTAAAATGCGTCAGTATATTTTAAATATTAACATTTTATAATCAATAATTGACAAATTAAAAATATAGAATCAATAGTACAAACAAGTTTATAATTGGTTAATCAAGAAAAATTTGTTATATTAAATGTATGTTTTATTTTAGCTATTTTCTCCAATATTTATGTAAGTAACAATGAAAATGACTTATAGACTATTTATACTGATTATGATAATAGCTATAATAATATAATAAAATAATAATTATATTTCTTGTACAGCTATACCCACTGCCTTTAATAATGATACTTACAATAAAAAGTATTTATTTTTTTTTGTATACATACATGTTTTCTTCAAATAATTTTGAATGTATTATAATTAATTAATAAATCAAAAGGATTCATTTTCAACAACTTTTTGCTGTATTTTTGTCGTGCATGTATTATGTATATTGTATTATGATAATACAAGAAACTTTTTCAAGTACGATCAACATACAGAAGATTATAATATCTTCTCATAAAAATGATCAGTTTAGTAAGTAAAACAAGTTAAATACTATACAAAATAAGTTATACTAACTTATTAAAATTTCTAGAAATATTATAGTGGTTTTAGAAATGCTCTTTTCTTTAAATTTAAATACAAAATTTAAAAGCCAATTGTATTTCATGATAACCTTAAATTTGCAATATTAAATTTAATTCAGAAATAACGACATATTAATATTCAATTAATTATTTTTAAACTTTTGTAATAAATCTATTTTTCTTAGATTGATTTATATTAATAAAGCCAAAAATATATATTCTTTTTTATAAAAGTAAACGTTAATTAATCAATATGTAGATACAAATATAAAATTTTACATTTATCTAGCAAAACGCAGCATTTTTTAAAATATTAGTCATCATTTGATGATTTTTATGATATCTTATATTATGTATCTCGATTACGTAAAGAACAAGTGGAATAAATAAATGGACTCGCTTTGTATTTGCACGACAATTTTTTTCCCTCCTTGTGCACAATAAATTGGTTGTATTTACATCTTGCTTTGTATATTTTTTCGTATTACGTATTTTCTTTCTTTTCTTATATTTATGATAAAAAAAAAGAAAGAAAGAAAAATTAACTTTAGCCGAAAACTCGATTGCCTTCTATGTGACGAATCCAGTTCGCGCTTTCAAAAATATATTTTTATATTTATTTATATATATATATATATATATGTATATGTATATATAAACTTCTTTATTTAATTCTAACTTGCGTCATGGAACTGGATTAGCGACAAAAACATTTCAAATCAAACGAGCAAATAAACTCGTTTTTATCATCTTTTTTTTTTTTGTTTTTTCACACGTACGCTATAACGTGTACGCAAAATGAAACTTCATACATACGAACTTCGTTCGTCAGTCAGCTCAGTGCGTTTTGCAGAATAATTTTAATCATACATTAATCTGGTCTATAACTCCCTTAAGAAGCTGATGGTGTACAAACTTTGAAATGCGACGGCTCGTCAGTAAAAGTATCTTTATTTGAAGATCAAATAAGATCAACAGACAATGTCTCAATTTTGCAACACCACTACTAGGCAACGATAATCACCATCAACGAATTTTTTTACACCAATACCAATTTGACTATGAGATTATAGAACTTAATCAGCAAGAACACCTTGCCTTGCACGACCTCTGGCTTGCTGATGATTGAATCGAAAGAACCGCCCAGGTTGATTCGGGGCGGTATGCTGTTGCTAATGCTGCTGTTGCTGCTGCTGCTGCTGCTGTTGTTGTTGTTGCTGCTGTTGCTGCTGCTGCTGCTGCTGTTGTTGTTGTTGCTGCTGTTGCTGCTGCTGCTGCTGCTGTTGCTGCTGCTGCTGTTGCTGCTGTTGCTGTTGATGATGAAGCATAGCCATTGCACCAGTTTCAGCAGCAGTTGGAAGAACAACTGTAGACTGTTCACTAACAGCTATTTGATGAATCTGTGCCTGAGATCCTTGGCCTACTTGTATTTGAATTTGTTGCAATTCAGATACTGATGATTGTTGTTGTAATTGATCTGCTTGTTGTTGTAATTGTTCTGCTTGTTGCTGTTGTTGATCCGTTTGCTGTTGTGAATTTTGAGAAGTATCAGCAATATTTGAAGGATCTTCTTTAATACGTTTTGCCAAATGAGATCTAGCATGTTTTCTTAAGTGATCTTTACGATAAAATGCTTTACCGCATTCAGTACAAACTTCAGTTTTTTGTCCAGAATGTATAACAAAATGAAGATTCAAGTGCTCCTTTCGTTTGAAACCCTTCATACAAACTGAACAAATAAAAGGTCTATCTGGATTGTGACCCAATTTATGCCGTTCTAAATGTTCTTTCCGTTTTAAACCTGCACCACAAATGTCACAAATAAACCTTCTTTCTATTTTATGCCCAATAAGATGTTGTTCCAAAAGTTCTTTCTCAGGATAAGCCATGTTACATTGAGGACAACAAAATAATGTTGTACCATCAAGAGCAGTAACTATGCTCACTTGACCTGGCTTTGGTTTTTTTGGTTTTGGAGGTTTCTTCTTGTATTTCTTTTTTCTTTTAGGTTTAGTACCAGGTTCCTGTTCTTCAACAACATCAGGAATAATAGCAGTTTCTCCACTTGCTACGGTAATCTGTACTGCTTGCTCACCAGATGCAGTACTTCCAGATGCATCTAAGCCATCAGCTCCTAAAGGACTTGATTCAATAGTAGCCTCTCTTTTAATAGTTTCTGCCGAAAATTTCAAGAAATGCTGTAAACTAAGAGGCAAAGTACTAGCAGGTAATCTAGAAAGATAATCAGCAACAGTTGATCCTGGAGTTGCAAGACTTTGCCAACTTGCAGGCATAGACGTAATATATTCTTCTCCACTTTGATTTCCTTGATTTTTAATACTACCTCTTTTAATGAGAGCAACTGGTGTTGTACCTTCTTTCACATCTTCTTTTGATTCTTCCATACTTTCACGTAAAATCAAATCTTGTGGAATCTGTGCAACTACAGTTAATCCTTCAGGTGCTCCCGGAAGTTGTACTGTTTGTTGAATGGTTTGTTGGGATGTAGTAGTAACTGCTGTGGATGTACTTTGAGTTGTTTGATCAGATCTAAAATAAAAATATCTTTTATTAATTATTAATTAAAATAATGATAAAAAATATATATTTTTTATAAATCAATATATTAAACAAATTAAAATTATTCTAAATGATATAATTCTTACGTTTGTGTTGTCGCCACTGTATTTTGTGGTTGCACTTGAATCTGTACCCCATCTGCACCTTGTTGACTGTATGCAACAGTGAGAACTGTTGCGGCACCTTGGGGAAATTGTCCCAAAGATATAGGAGCCAAATGATACTTTGGCTGATCACCGCTGTTTCCACTTTGAGAAACGCTGGGATTAACCACCTGGATCTGGACGGTTTGTTGCTGTTGCGTACCATCTTTTCCAGGTACAGTAATTGGCAGCGTAATAATTTGCTGCTGTTGATTATTACCCCCTTGAGCCACTGCGAACCCGTTCGGATCGACCGGCCTCAGATAATGAACTCCACCTTCGCCGCCAGATAAAACACCAACCACCTGACCACCAGTAGGTAGGTTTTGCGCGAATTTTGCGGTTGCAAATTGATGAACGGTGCCCGTCGGTAGCGAGCCTGTCGTAAAGCCGGGAAAAGGCGTGAAATTCATCTTCTATGTTAATTAAATCTGAAAAACCAAACAAAATATAATTAATATTAGCATAATTAAATAAGTATGAAATAAGTATTTACTATTTAATTATTAAAATTATTTAGTAATTCAAGAAACATACATCAAAATAATATTTTTCAGTTATATAAATATTTATATGTTATCTATTTATCAATTAATTATTAAATTTTTTTAGCAAATGTATATATTTATAATATGTTTATATTTATAAAATTAAATCTTTCCTAAATGAAACATATTTATGAATATTAATGAAAGAAATAAAAGAAATAGGATCAAATATTCGATAAAAAATACGTATTTACATATCATATTATATAACTCCACTCACTTTGATGCATGAGTATTGCTGTCGAAGTGCATCGATCTTCGATACTTCAAATAATTTCAAAAGAGATTCGGTGTTTTCATAGAATTTACAGATACTCTTTAATTCCTTAATGTTTCTTCAGTAGATATGTTCCGAAGTAAAGTAAATACATCATGTTTGAACACGATCATGTTGCTAAATACGAAAAACAAGTTGCAAGTCAATAAAAATCAATTAATCTGAATATTATATTTCATGTATTATATATTGAATTTGATTTTTTTCTTTTTTCATTTAATTCTATCTATCATATTTAATATTGATAATATTAAATTTATTATATTTTATTTTCTATTCATTTTCCATATGATATTAGCTACAGGTGGTTGAAGAATTCGTACATGACTTCTATTAAAAATTTTCACTATATGTAATCGTTACTATATGTGAGATTTAAATAATAATCTCTGAAAAAAATTGTATATTTCTGTAACATATATTATAATATATGGCAAGATCAAAGTTAAATGATATATATTAAATGAATGAATAAGTAATACATATATTTATTCTATAAATATATATTGATTAACAATTGATTTTTTTCCACCGCCCTTATTCTGCTCGTATTTAAAACGTTGCATTTCATAACAACATTTATTCGTGAAAGTTGATGAAGTTAAACATTGAGTATCCCGCCACCTTTACTTTCAAAGTCTTAACTTCAGACTTCTTGATCATGTGTTAGTATGTGGGGGTGGGGTGAGAGATCCCCCACTTCACCCCCTTCCCCACCTCAAAGGGATCTGGGAGCAGGGAGGATAGTCGTCGAAGTGGCCCAGGATTGCACCCCACTCCACCATGGTGCCCCCACGGGGGTAGGGGGTAGGAGCTCTTGACAAGGGTAGGGGGGAACCCATAGGTGGGAAAACGGGAACCCACCGCGAAATAGAGCCCGAGACTCACTCTCTTTCTCATACTAACACACGGAATATCGCGAGAATAGGACGGGAAGGAACGATAGAACAGTGTGTAGGTGCGTAAGCGTGTGCCGCAAGCTCGAAAGGGTAGGGGTATGTCAAGAAAGAAGGGAGACGATCCTCGACATACCGGGAACTCCCCGGGGAGGGGAACGCGAAATATCGGGAGAGAACATACGAAGCAGACATCGCGGCAGACGAAGTGGGACACACCGATGACTCTCGCCCTTGATCCATCCGTAGGTAGGGAAGGAGTAGAAAACGAGTGAGGGAGAGAGAGAAAGAGAAGAGGTTAGGTTACCCGTGCACCTCTCCTCCTTTAGACGCACCGAGGAGGGTGCTGTGTCGAATGGACGATTATTCCGTGCCAGCAAGTCGTTGCGGGTGGTTGTACGGCTTAATAGAAAAAAAAAAAAACTATCGTGAACACGCATAAACGAACGCACTGCGGATGCGTTTTTCGACTTTCGCGGAATGGCGTGTGCGACTGACCGGTCAGCCTCGCCGACGTACCGTTGTTGGATGCTTTTGCAAGACGCGCATGTCGTAATGGCGCCGATTCTCTTAAGGTTCAACATATCTCTCTCACACTATATAACTTTCTCTCTCTCGTATATATATCGAAGAGAGCATGTCTGAGCATTCGCGGTTTCTAGAGGAATTCTAGTGTCTCACATGTTATTGGGGGCAGCGTGCGTAGAATGGAACGGCTCTGGGGCATTGTGCAATCAGATATGCTTTTACATGCACCCAATATAATGAACGCATTTCTAAAAGATATAAACGAAATAGAATAAAATTGAAATAGAGGAATATATTGTAAATAGTTTTAAAAAGTACCGAACAAATAACTAATATTCGAATAAGTAACATTAAAACAACAATGCGGTCATGTAAACATTGAAAACGAACACGTATGAATGGTAGTTAAATAAACGGGTAGACAAGGTTACACGTCATCACTTTGGTGATACATCGGCCATGATGGAATTGAGTACACGGTGACGCGAGAAAATAGCACAGGTCCGCGAAGCCGATGCTTTGTTCTCTCGATTATTCCCTCTCTCCCTTTCGCCCTGCGTCTCTCCCTCCCTTCGGTGCTCTTTCGATCGCGCATCGGGAGACGTTATGTGGAGAGGAAGTAGGAAAAAGATCGGGCGAGTTGGCAGAGGCGAGAGCAGGGCAGAGGCGAAACGGAGGACAGAGTAGAGCCAACAGAGGCACAGGCAGGGCTGTTGTTTACACCCCCACCTCGACGGGTTAGAGGCAGCGAGATGCCACGGAGGGGCCTCCGAGACCTCGGTGGGCACCCACCACCACGCAATTTCCAACCCCACCAGCCTCTCAACCACTGTCCGCACCTCCAACCACCCCACCAAAGCCAGCTCGAGCCAAGCCGTGAGCCACGACGAGGGCCCCGCGACGATTTTAGTGTCTTGGGGTGGGTGCTCTGTGGCCACCGTTTCGCGGTTTCTCGTGCACGTTTCGTATTAGAAGTAAAGCGCGTAAAGATTCGTGGGGCGGCATTATCCGCGGATTCCTTCAACTCGATCTAGTTTACAAACGGGTGCACGCGAGTTCCCTACATATAAGACAATCATCCACGAGGAAATGCGTGTCCTACTTACCCACGAGCAGCTGTGGCTCCCTTGTGCACTCCTTTCGGCGTACTGCTACTACTGTCGCTGCGTCGGAAGCTTTGCGTAGTACAGAGACCGTCCGCCTGGCTGGCTCGCCTGCGTCGTTCTCAATCTTCACTACGGCGGCAGCAACTTTCTCATTTCTACGTATACATTCGTCGTGCCACGGCTTTCTGGCTAGCCACGGCTACTACTTACGGTGTACACGTCATACGAAACGTACATTCAAATGTACGTGTTTTTGATGATCGACGAGTCGTGACTCGTGATA